TTTCAGTGATGACGGGAATGTGTAATGTAAGTCAGTAATGATGCTGACCTTTACGTAATGCAGTTGCGTCTTAGTCCAGAATCGCTGTCCTTTCTCTACTGCGCAATTATGCTATTGCAGCATTGCCATTAAATCCCCAGTACATATGTTTTTTGGACAAACAAAATCCTTAATCACTCAAATGTAATAGGCATTACGAATGGGTTACCCACTAATGATGCTCATGGCCAGACCGATATGGGATCCGGTTGGTCGCCAAGGATACCACATGAAACCTTTGGTCCCTTACCACCCTCGTCATTACGGAACACTTTAGAAAGTCGCTCATAGCAGCTGCTCCTGGAGTTTTCAGTTTTGTTTCCGCTCTTTCGCTCGCTCATGATATCAACAGCTAATTTTCGGACTTTTAGTGGTTGTCAGTTCAAAATTTATTATCAAATTTATGACTGTAAATCAATGTTGGTGCAGCACGTGCAAGCCAAAAATGTATGTAAGCACAATAGAACGTGTGCGCCGTTTGCTTTTGATTGTGAGCACTCGTATAGGTTGTAGGCATCTATAAAAAAGCCAATCATATCAAATGGCTTCTTTTTGATTATTTGAGAACTTAAGGCACCGAAAATCTTGGCTCTTGTTCTGCTTTGTTCTACTGGAGAATCAGCGTAATTTGAGATCACAGGTTAAAAAGATGTATAAAAAAATCTGTAAATGACCGCAAAGTTCTTTGGGATAGCACGATGGGGAGAAATATCTCCGGTGTGAAAATAAATTTTCCCTTAAGATTTGAAAACAACTCTTTTTAACTGTTCTTCAGACTAATTCAGAGGCTGAAGAAGGTAGATGCATAGACAAGCAGACAGAATTAACAAATGGTATTATTTCTTTCAAAATACGCGCAGAAATGCAGAAATTAAAATTCTACAGAAGTTATGTCTGAGTACTGATGTCGTATAAACGGAATACTGCACAGGCAGGGATTAATTCGTCGATTCGGAATGAATGGGCGATTTGCTCAAACAGATGCAATAAAGTGTCGCAAATTTATGTCGGCCAGAAATAAATCCTTGTTATTAAGTGCACTTTATTCGATTCTTTGAAAATCACTTGACTGTGCTAGCGGGTTTGTCTAAAAGTCTTATCGGGTAATTTCAAAATTTTCAGAAAGTGGATACAGCATTTTTGTGTTAACAATTGGTTTTTTATGTGTTTTTGCCGTGTAGCGCTACAACGCTGCAACAGGCAGCAAAAAAGCATATTGCGAACATCCTGCCTGCGTGTGTGTATGTGTTCGTTTGTTCGGGTATTTCTACTCGGCAGTCACGCAAGCTTTGATGCTGAAATTTTACCAATGTGTTCTCTGGCCAAGCGCAACCCCTGGAGCGTGATATTAGCTATCGCGCACATCTACATCTCATGTACGGACACTTGAAAGTTTTGTGGGAAAACTGCTAACTAGTGGACGAGGAAAGCTAGAAAGCTGAAACTTTAGGTCAATTTTCCCTACTCATGCACGACTAAAAGATTTTAAATTCAGCTCTTCCAGTGGGGTTTTTTTTGCGCACCACAACTTTCCATTTGTTTAATTGACGTCAGGTTGAACTCACAGTGGTACTGATGTGTTGCTGGTGTAGCCCTGCGATCACTTTGCCTATGAGTTCTAGCTTCACTAGCAAGCAGTCAGCATTATTACCATCATGTATCATCAAAGCAAAGAATGGTTGTTCACCTGTAGTGGCACAGTATAAGCAAGAGGCCGAACAATACTCGCATTATGTAGCAAAGTATGCAGCACTTGCGCGACTACATTAGACTATATCGCCCTGAAGCAGTGGTACTCGATATTGAGGCTTTTAACAATTTTAGCATTATCATTGACCTTCGAAGGTCGAAAATGAGGAAAATAGTCCAAGTTCTTCGTCAACGGAAAACCTTAGCATTCAGTCATATAGAGATATCTTTCAAAACATAATCTGCTTGCAGAAGTCTTTTACTCTTTAATTTAAAACGCTACACGCGCTTAAGGCTCTTAGATTTCTGATCATTAGGCAGATTTGACGTAAGCCTTGGGATTTCTCATCAAAGGGCCTCTGAACTCCCAATTGGCTTTTTAAACAGATCATAAATGCTATTATTTCTGTTGGACGATGATTTTCTAGCGTTACAATGTACATAAAAGAGCTAAACAAAGTTATTTATGCAAGTGTATCCTAAGCGTTACAGCAGTACACATGCAACAGACGCATTTTTGCGCTCACTCAGTTAAACTATCGCATCAACCGAGCAAAGCATAGGCCGTACTGCGCTTGCACCATTAGCACGATTAAAAGCTGATAATATGGCAGTGATATCAATTTTTAGCGCAACCCAAAAATAAACAAAATTGCTATTTCAATCTTTTTATAGCTTACACCTCACTAAGTAAATCCATGTTCTTGACATCAATTTTGGATGCTGCACTGAGAGGGCTGCAGCGATGCTATCAAAAAGTTGAGTTGTAGCATTTTTTCAAAATGACCGTATGCTTTCCACAATTTGCGCTTTGCCAGCTGTTCAAATTTGAATTCAAAATGGCGAACATGTACTGAAGAGTGGGCAATGAAAATATGTATACGGGTGGCTGAGGGTACGCAGGCCCAGGTTCGAAGGACCTACCGCAGCTGCGCCTGACATGTGACAGTAGCCCAGTAATACAGTGAATATGAAATTCTGCACTGACTGTCCAGGCGGTCGTGGTTTTGACGGTTCTGATATGTGCAGCATTAAGCTTTTGAAGATTTGGCTAGGCTTGCAACAGCACAAGATTTTTGACGTTGCACTAAAAAAACATTTCCTCATTCGGCTGAAGATAAAATTTTAAAACCCAGGCTCGAACGCATCGGGCGGGCCCGTGTGATCATGCGTTTTTGCACCGGACTAGAAGTACTCAGGTCATTAAATGCATGAACGGTTGCTGAATTACGCCTACCTTTTGCTGACAGTAACATAAATCACCATAAATTTTGCATAAAGGGAATGAACAGCTTCCGTTCAACAGCCGTTCCTTAAAAGTAACCTAGCTGTTCAGTTAGAAACTTTTCCACTAAAAATTTTAAGCGCCCGTACGTAAAAACTACGCATACCTCAAGGTTGAATTTGAAATATTTGAATTGTACTTCGATAGGGAACATTCCTGCAAAATTTCAGCTTTCTGGCTCTTGAAATATTTGAATTGTACTTCGATAGGGAACATTCCTGCAAAATTTCAGCTTTCTGGCTTTCCCTGGTACCCAAGTTAGCAATTTTCCCCCTAAAGCTTTCAAACGCCCTTGCGTGCGTACCACGCATATCTGCAAGCTGAATTTGAAATCTTTAGCTAGTACATGCACAGGGAATATCCCTACAAAGTTTCAGCCCCTTAGCGCGTCTGGGTCCCGAGATCGCTTTCCCGCCAAAAAATTTGCATATTTTTTTAAAACGTCCGTACTCGGCACCCCAGACGTCCAAGGGGGATGAAATTAAAACGGGAGGGTCGCATTTTTTTAAAACGTCCGTACTCGGCACCCAGGCGTCCAAGGGGGATGAAATTAAAACGGGAGGGTCCCGCATGGTATAGTTTTAAAACGCCGTACTGCACCCAGACGTCCAAGGGGGATGAAATTAAAACGGGAGGGTCGCGCTTCCCCGCCAAAAAATTTGCATATTTTTTT